CATTACAAGGGTTCAGGAGTCCAGAGGTCCTGTGTTGTCACCAGATGTTTTTTGCTTCATTAAACAATTACTGTGACTTCAGAGGTGCATCAGGGGGAAAAGTAATAACAGGAAGGCAATAAACCTGGCCTAATTGGGTGTTCATCATGACAGATGAAATCCTCCTCCAGGCACAAAACACAAAGAGGTTGAATCGATCAGTAACAAAGGCAGAGAAAATAGAAGGGTAAATGCTCTGCACAGAGGTAGGAAAGGGAGTAAAATTCCAAAGGAGAAACTGAATTTGCATAAAAGAAATGAAGAAAAAATTCAGAATATTCAGAAAACCTTTTAAATCTTCATAGCTCTCTAGGAATGTATTCTGTTTCTTAAAAAGGACCAGGTTACAAAATCAAAGGATGATTCTAGCTGATGTTAAACACAGTATGAAAAGTAAAACACTGATATTTTATTGTTTATACATTTCTATACTTTATATATATAAACATGTAAAACACTGATTATATAAAATATTGGATTTTTGGTTGTTATGTTGTTGTGTAATGTGCAGGCATAGAAGAGGCTTTCAGGGATTTGGGGAGGCAACTCTCCATGGGTCTCTCGAGTTTCTGTGTAGCTTCTGAGCAGTTGCATCCACTGCCTTTTGTTCTAGACTATCTTCAAGGATGTTTATATAATAAAATGCACAGCCTTGGATGATAGAGAGCTTCTCCCCCAGAACCAGGAGGATGTGATTACAGCCTTGGAAAATAAAGAGATGTATCTCTCTGGAGCAAAGGGCAGGCATGCTTACTGCCCATTTTAAACAATTTGGATTCCCTGAACTCTGGGTTTGGCCTACGTAATGTAATCTATTGTGGGTGCTGGTGCCATATGTCTCTCTTCATTTTGCTATGTGGGAATTAGGTTCAAGGAATCAGTGCAAAAACTGCTGATAATTTGGCTTCTGCTATTGCTATGAGTAATATACTATTCTTTGCCTCTGACCCAAGAGTCCCATGTCTTCTATCAATACCCATAAAATTGTAACTCTCAGACCACTCATAGCTTTTGATCAAGTTTAATTACTCCAAGAGTGTATCTTAGCACCTTCTTTTTAATGAGTCAACAAGAAGCACATACAGCGCATAGCTTTGTACTATTTGGCTAAAGCGTAGGGCTTCTTTTCTTCTTTGTCATAGTTTATTCTTTTTTGTCTTACATGATTTGCACTGAACTATATCTTTTGTTTGGTCCCTTGTTAGTGGTAGAATGTCATTTATCCAAGTCACCATTTTATCAGAAAAGAATTAGCTTGGGATAGCACAGTTTAATTGTATTTCAACTTATCTTACCTATCTAGACTATAATAGGTTTATAGATACTTTCAAATCTAAGGTTGAGACTGTGCATACCACTTTTGCATATTGTTTGTATCTCAGCTGTTTCATTAAATAAATTAGAAATTTATTTAATTACTTCAAATTTCCAAAGAAAAAAGTTTGTCTTTTTACTTGGTCATATTTCTTTAAACAAATTTGGAGAACAGCCCCAAGAATTACCATTATGCAACTGCAAAGCTAAAATATGGGGAGCCAGGATCACTTGACTGAATCAAGTTAAAGACTCTTTCTCAATGAGTAGTCCCAATTGGCTGGCAAAGAGAATGGAGAAAAAAACACTCCAGTTTCAAGGTAGGATAAAATGTCTACTTAATACTTAGCTACTAATGAATCCATAATATATGTTTCATATTAGTATGTATAGATGAATTGGTCCAAGGCATAAATCTCAGGTGCCAAACATTGTGTCTTAGTCCCATATTGGTTGATGGTTAGGCTCCAGGGAATCCTTTAGGGATCAAGGGTTCAAAATGCGACTCTTCCACCTTCTAAGGTCTCCTGTGAAATCTTCTACATGAGACTATCAGCACAGAGAAGAGAAAGAGTTAGAAGGGTCAGATATGCTTTTCATCATTATGGCAGGGTAGGTTCTATGGGAAGCACACTCTGAGATGAAGCCTTGTGTTCCGGAATATTTGGGGGTCATGGTCTTAGAATCAAAACCTGTGGAAGAATGGAAGAAGCATGATTAGACAGAGAGAGAGCTTGAGCTGTGATGTAGTCCAAACAAAATCCTCAGCTTATCCACAGGTGGTCTGGATGCCTCTTAGAGTCATCCAAAATTTAGGGTAAGAGGACAGGACTTTTTACCCATACACTGATAAGTTACTGAACATAAATGTAACCCTTGGGTGTGTGTGTGTGCGCACGCGCGCATCTTTCTTTAGGCAAGAGTGATCACTGGGAGTGGGTATTTATTTAGCTGTGAGCTGTCAACACTGACAGTGGTTGGAGGAATGAAACTACTTCAGTCCTGAAGAGGGAGATCTGGGGGTTATTCTGAAATGCCATGTAAATATCCTGTTCCTTATCAAACACTTATTACCTCAACTCATTCATTTGTCTTAGCCTCTTGGAGTCTAGATTTTACCTACTCCCACCTTGCATGTCTGCCTCTGCCCATGTTGCTGTCTTTCTAGGATCATCTGTGACTTCCTTCTTGCCAAATCCAGGGGATTTGTTTTCTTTATTTGTGTAAACCCCTAAAAACTCTTGACTATTGACTTTCTAATCCTTGAAATTCTTCATCTAATTGTTCATACAATTCTCACATGTTTTCCCCTTTTTAGTGATATTATTTTCAATTTCTTTCATCATCTCCTCACTGTGGGTATTTCTAAATGCCTTCACTGTGGGGTGCTCTATACCATGTCACCTGAGACATGGACAACAGCCCCTTTCAATCACACATATACAGTCACATACTGTACATTTTTTACTGAAAATTAGGGGCCATAGAATATTAGAGAAACAAAGGCAAAAAAAGAAATGTTGGCTATCTTTGTTCTTGAAATCTTTCAGCCTTCCTTTGATCTCTAAAGCTTCCTACTTCTCTATTTTAGGGTACCCCTTTCTTAGGCTCCCTGGTCAGACTCAATCCCTCTCATTTAATAATATAAAGGAGTTTAACTTCTTTATGCTTTCAAAAATTGAATATTTTTCCATGAATGCATGTTACCTTTATAATCAAAAATTAAAAGTAAGAAAAATCTCTCCAGTCCTAACCTCTCACCTGCCCTTGAGTTCTGTATCTCCACGAGACTGCAAGATGTCTCTACCAGGCTGATTGGAATTCACAAATATGCCCATTTTCTCAAATTAGCTTTCCTTCCCCTCACTGGTGGATCAGAAAATGTATCGTTTTTACCTGCAGAAATTAATAAGGAACATAAGTAAAATTACTCTTTGGAGAATGCTACTATCATATCAGTGATCACAAAGAATTCCAAAAGAATAGCCAGGGTTAATGAAAATTTTCTAGAACTTCCTGCACACAAAAATGTTGTGGTAGCAGATATATTTAATTTATGTCTCACCCAAGATTCCAGATGCTGACCCATCACATAGATGTGCCCCAAAAACACCTTCATCTATTTGTAAAAACAAAATATTGTTGTAACCCATGTTATTGTCATATTTCCACTTAATTAAAACTTTTCTAATTTACTCCCCTGTTACTTTTATTTGGTATTAACTCTCAGGAAAAACAGAACATATTTCACGAAATAGCTGTTGACGTGATTTGCCCTGTACCTTGAGTAGAGGTAAAAGTATTGAGCGAATTTTCATTTTGGAACTGGCTTTTCTTCTCCATGCACCTGTAGCCTTAGATAACACTGCTCACATGTGCTTTTGCCTGAGATGAAATTTACTTGTCACCATATTCAGGCAAATTCAAACTTGACAGATCTTTCTCCTCAGATCAAAAGGCTTTTATTTTTTGGTCGAGTAGACATATCGTTCATTTTTTCAAATGGTGACTCAGCTGTTCCAAACCACTGAAAGTTTCCTTTGTATTTCCCCACAAGAGGCACCTTGCAAAGGAATCAAAATGTATCTTCATTAGGTTAATTAAGAAAAGATATGAAATAGGGGGGTGTATGTTGAAATTTTATGTTCAAAAGAAGGGAAAAGTCAGAAGAGAAAGAAAAGGGAGACCTCCATCAGACAAAAATGTTAGACGACTACTTATTAAAATACATTCTCTTTTTGCTGACAGTTAATACCAAATAAAAGTAATGGGTAGGGGGATTAGAAAACTGTTAATAAAGTAGAAATATCACATAGCATGGAACTATGACAGTATTACAAGAATATTTTGTTTTTACAGATGTTATATATTCATTTCTAAGGCTGCCATAACACGATGCCACAAATTAAGGAGCTTAAACAACCGAAGATTATTATCTCACAGTTCCTGATACTAGAGGTCCAAAATGAAGGTGTCAGCAGGGTTGGTTTCTTCCGAAGGCTGCCAAGGATAAACTGTTCCATGCCTCTCTCCTAGCGCCTGGTGGTTTGCTGGTCATCTTTGGCTCTTGGTCTTGTAGACCCCATACTCCAGTCTGTACCTCTATCTTCACATGATGATCTCCTTTGGTGTGTGTGTATCTGTGTCCAGATTTCCCCTTTAATAAAGGACACCAGTCATCATGTGTTAGAGCTGACCCTAATGACCTCATCTTAAGTGTTTACAAAGACCCTATTTCCAAATTAGCACATTCACAGGTACTAAGGATTAAGACTTCAAAATCTTTTGGGAAACATAATTCAACCAAGAGGATATATTGTTGCTTATTTATACTGAAACACTCACTATAAAAGCCAACCAGTGTGCTAATTAGATTACTTAATCGATTACTTATTAAATAATTATTAATTAAGCTTTCATCAGACCTCCAGATGTCAGGAAAAGAACCTTCAGAGACAAGGTTTTGCAATAGAAAAACCCTTGTGTGTAATTATTGAAGGACATGTATGTTTCTTTGGGCCTGTTTACAGATCTGTGTGTTGACAGTGTTTCTCTTCAGACAGTGGCATCAAAGGACCGTGACAAACCCCAACACAGAGAACAGGTGTATTAAGTAGCCTAGTGTGCTAAACAGAACATGGGGAGACCAACAGCTTGGAAAATGTTTAATCGAGGAGTCATCTGCATTGCACAATAAAAACTGCTGAAAAGGGGCAAAAAAGAGAACATTTATTTTCAGAGTCCTACTTTTTTAGACTTTTTTTGGGAAGACACCTATTTTCCTCCGTTGCTTCAGTTCTTTCTCCAGGAAGGAAATACTGAACAGTTTACAAAAAATGGATGAATCACAGAGAGATATTCTCTGCAGACTGTCGATAGACCTCTGGGTGTCTGACAGTGAGCGAGGCTTTCCACAGTCTCCAGCAGGAAACCACCCTCAGGCTCTGTCTACAGCAGTGGTTCTCAAAATGTGGTCTTGAACACCAGCAGCACAGCACTTGTTAGGAATGCAAGTTCTTAGGCGCAACCCAGAGCGAGTAAGTCAGAAACTCGGGGTGAGGTTCCGCGATCTGTGTTTTAACAAGCCCCCATGAGAATCTAAAGCCACCTCAAATTAAGAACCACTGGTCTTTATTAAAGTGAATGAAGGTATGGCTAGCCAGTACAATTTTTTTAAAGTATTGAATTTTTTTTTATCATCATCAGTATTTACGATTTGCTTTAAGTCATAGGTGTAGTGTTATAGTCTATACTTTCTCTCCTGAAATATTTCTTTGTTAATAAAACATTAGAATTTTTTTCTGATTTAAAAAGGAGCGAGTGCCAGAATATTTTAGTGTTGCCTGTTGAAAATGACTCTGAGAAGGTGAGAACAACCTCCGACGCAGTGTGGCTGAGAAGGAGATCAATCACAGCTTCCGTCCCGCTCATCCACTCAGAGTAGAGCAACCTTCTCACAGAAGCCTCAGAGCTGTTTGCTCTTACGTGATACATTTAAAAACAACAACAACCATGAATGCTGAATGCCGTCCCTGACCTGCTGAATCAGATTAGTTGTTGTCAAGACTTCAAACAGCATGTGATCAAAAACCCCCTCTGTCACTCTGCTGGACACACATTACGATCTATATGGAAGACTGAACAAATGCTGTCCGTGCCATCCTTTGAAGGGTGCTTATTGTTAATTTGAACTATGTGGCCTCTCATAGTCATTTGAGGAAGTAACTAACCATTTTGAAATGAATAAACCCTTTTTGTTACATCTCATGGAGAAAGAGACAGTCCCAGCTGAAGGTTCTGGGAAGGAGCCTAATCTAGAGGGAGAGACAGAGCATCTGGATGGTTAGCCACATCTTCATAGTAATAGCTCCCATTTACTGAGCACCAACCAATATGCCAGGGGCTTGATTTACATCATCTTAATATACATTATCTCTAAAGTTTTTTTTCTAATTTTTAAACTCATCTTTATTGTTGAATGTATTACAGATGTTTCTCCCTTTTTTACCCATTGACTCCCTCCTCCCCAATCCCGCTCCCCTCCTGCCTTCCCCACACTATTGTCGGTGTTTATTGGTTATGCACATATGCACAAAAGCTTTCTGGCTTATCTCATCCTGTCCTCCCCCTTGCTTCCTTTTGAGGTTCAACAATCTAACAACCAATTTGTATTTCTTAATTCCTTCATCTTTTTCATCCAGCCCCCCAGTCCCCATCCATCTGGCAAACAACAAAAAGTTCTCTGTATCTATGAGTCTATTTCTGTTCTGCTTGCTCATTTTGTTTGTAGATTCAGTTGCGGATAGATAAGTATTATTTGCCATTTTATTGTTCACATTTTTGTTCTTCATCTCCTCCAAGAAGACCCTTCAACATTTTGTATAGTACTGGTTTGGTGGTGATGAATTCCTTTTGCTTTTTCTTGTCTGAGAAACTCTTGATATGTCCATCGATTCTAAATGATAGCTTTGCAGGATGGAGTAATCTTGGTTGTAGGTCATTTTTTCCCCATCACTTTGAATATTGCTTGCCACTTCTTTCTGGCCTGCAAAGTTTCTTTTGAGAAATCAGCTGGTAGTCTTATGGGAGTTCCTTTGTAGGTAACTGACTGCTTTTCTCTCACTGCTTTTAGGATTCTCTCTGTCTTTAACCTTTGGCATTTTGATGATGATGTATCTTGGTGTGAACCTCTTTGGGTTCATCTTGTTTGGGACTCTCTGTGCTTCCTGGACTTGTATGTCTGTTTCCTTCACCAAGTTAGGGAAGTTTTCTGTCATTATTGTTTCAAATAGGTTTTCAACTTCTTGCTCTCTCTCTTCTCTTTCAGGCACCCCTATGATGCGAATGTTGGCACGTTTGAAGTTGTCCCAGAGGCTCCTTACACTATCCTCATTTTTTTGGATTCTTTTTCCTTTTTGCTGTTCTGATTGGGTGTTTTCTTCTTCCTTTTATTCCAAATCAATGGTTTGCTTTTTGGCTTTACCTACTCTACTATTGATTCCCTGTCAATTCTTTATTTCAGTTAGTGCATCCTTAATTTCTGACTGGCCCTTTTTTATGTTGTTGATGTTCTCACTAAGTTCCTTGGAGGTCTCCTTAAGTTCCTGGAAGGTCTCACTAAGTCCCTTGAATGTCTCACCAAGTTCCTTGAGTAACCTTATAATCTGTGTTTTGAACTCTGCATCTGATTGATTGCTTGTCTCCATTTTGTTTAGTTCTTTTCCTGGAGTTTTGTTCTTTTCTTTCATTTGGGACAGGTTTCTTTGTCTCCTCATTTTGGCTGCTTCCCTGTGATTGTTTCTATGTATTAGGCAGAGTTGCTATGTCTCCTAGGTTTCGTAGGGTAGCCTACTATTGTAGGTGTCCTGTAGGATCCAGTGGCACATTCTCCCTGATCACCCCAGGTGGGCCCTTGAGGTGCACCCCTAGTGTGGACTGTACACCCTTCTGTTGTAATTGAGTCTTGATTGCTTTTGGCACATCAATGGGAGGGATTTAGTCAGGCTGATCAGCTGCAAGGACTGGCTGTGCCCACTAGCCACTGGCCTCTGACTCCCTTGGAGGATCAGTGGTGTAGGGGCCCACAACTCAGAGCAAGTCTTACTTCAGCAGGGCTCTGGTACCAACTGAGTCTGCTCATTGAGTGTGTCTCTTGTGGAGGTGGTTGAGTGATGGTGTTTCAACATGGTCTGAAGCTGTCCACTGGGTGTGCTCGCTCTGGGGCAAGATCAGCCACTGCCTGTGTTCTATCCAGGGCCACCTGGCATAAGCTACAAAGTGATCTGCTAATGGCTGCTTCTTGTACTGGCTGTAGAGATACCCAGGAAAAGCCAGTTGTGAACCAAGGCTGTTTCCTTCTAGTGCCAGGCCTGGGGCCACTTAGTGAGAGGTATGGGGCCCACTGAGAACAGATGCTGCTTGTTTGAGAGATTTTAGGAAACTCTGAAGCAGGATCCAAGACAGGCCAATTCTATGGTAAAGACTTTGCAAACAGCTTAGGTGGGCCCAAAAGTTGGGCGGGAGGAGGACTCAGGGAATCACCAGGGGAAAACTGTGAACCAGGTTGCTGGAGTCCCAGATATGGCAGCTGTCTGCCTGCCCTGCGGGGGAAGGGCTCACCAAAGGAACCACATCCTCCGCTGGCAGGTCTGTCCAGGAGGAAGCTGCCCCTCCAGCCCTTGTCCCAATGCCAAACAGCTCAGTTCTTGCTTGTATGTCTCTTGAGCCCCTTGAGCTGCCTCCCCTCCGAGCTTACAGGGAGCAAGTCTGAGTAAGTCCGTGCGCGGGCCCTTTAAGAGGAGCTGCCTGGGGCTCCCACAGCCTCAGCCTCCCTCAGCCTCAGTTCCCGCTGGTTTTACAGCCAGAAGTGATGGGGATTCTCTTCCTGGCACTGGAACCCTGAGCTGGGCACCTGGTGCGGGACAGGGACCCTCACTCCTCAGGGGGGGACCTTCTCAGCCGAGGTGTCCTCCTGATTTTTATCCACCACACGTGGGTGTGGGGCCAGCCCCTCCGCCCTCCTACCAGTCTGGATGTGGCTGCTGCTTTGATTCCATAGTTGTAGGACTTCCATTCAGCTCGATGTCAGGCAGTTCTGAATGATGGTTGTGCTGTAGTTTAGTTGTAACTTTGATGTGGTTGTGGGAGGATGCGATACTGCGTTTACCTGCGCCCCATGGTGACAACCCCAAATGATATAATTAGCTCCATCTTTAAACTAGAAAACTGAGATGCTGAAAGCAAAGTGATTGGCCCATCACTGCAAAGATGGTCACTGGAAGAGCTGAATTTGAGTTGGATCTCTCTCAAGTTCTGGTCTTTCTGTCCGGGAAGTGGCAGGCACCGGCTGTTTGATCCAGGTTTGCAGAACGGTCCACCGAGGCAGCTGACGGGCGTAGCAGGGGTGCCGCGGCAGCCCAGCAGCTGGCATGCGTGACAGTCAGAAGGCAGCACAAGGTGGAGGCCACTAAAACGCCCAACACTAGAACAACACAACATAAAATTGTTTTAAAGTAACTTAGCACTTGTCAATCTTTTCACCAGGTGCCAGGTTCTATTCGAAACACTTGACCAGTTTAAACTTCTGTGATCCTTACAACAAATGTACGAGGTAGACATTATCATTCTCCCAGTTTTCCAGAGAAGTTGAGTAACGTGTGCAAGGTCACTGGGATTTGGCTCAGGCAGAGAATGCACCATTAATCACTATGCAAATTAGGATGGATCATGATGATGCTATTACCACATAGTAAAATTACAAACATGTAGGTATACTGACAAAGGTATATGGAAAAAATTATATACCAATTCAAAAATATTAAATAAATAATTTGTTCAGTTACATGTTACAGCAAGTATAAAACATTTAATATGTATTTTTTGCATTATACAGAGTGGGACAGAAGTGGGTTTACAGTTGTGAGAACATGAAACACAGTCTATTCCTGTTATTATTTCTTAATTATTGCGTTATTTTCCATAGGAACAATTGTAAACCTACTTTTGCCCCACCCTGTATTTAAAGGGTACTTTTTCTTTTTTTTTTTGAATATTTTTTTTTTATCCTCACCCGAGGACATTTTTCCGTTTTTTGTTCAGGTAGAGTGGGAGGGACAGAGAGGAAGAGAGAGAGAGAGAAACATCGACGTGAGAGTGGCCGCCACCCGCACAACCAACCAGGGCCGGGGACAAACTGCAACCGAGGTACGCGCCCTTAGCGGGAACCGAACCCGGGTCTCTCAGGACCGCAGGCCGACGCTCTAACCGCTGAGCCAAACCGGCCAGGGCTAAAGGGTACTTTTTCAAAGGACTATGTTAGCTATCCCTGTGTAACAAATCAACCAAAATTTAGCAGCTTTTGAGAGCAAACATGTATCATCTCGTAGTTTCTGCAGCTGGGGGTCTGGACGTGGCTCCACCGGGTTCTCTGGCTGGAGCTCTCACGAGGCTGCAGGCAAGGTGTGGCCAGGGTCTCAGTGGAACCAGGGCTCACCCTGGGGAGGATCTGCTTTCAAGCTCACTCATGTGGCTGCTCAGCGGCCTCAGTCCTCACTGACACTTCGAGATGTCCGCTGTTGTTCGGACTTCTCACAGGGGTGCCCACATTATGGCTGCTTGCTCTTCAGAGAAAGAAAGAGAGAGGGAGACACCCTAGTCTTCATGTGACCTAACGTCAGGAGTGACGACCACGTTTGCCAGATTCTGTTTGTTCGAAGCGAGTCTCTAGGTCCAGCCCACACTCAAGGCGAGGGGATTACACGAGAAGGGTCTGAATAGCAGAGGTGGGGACCACTGTGGGTCATTTTAGAGGTGGCCTACCACAGGCATGGATGTGTTTTATTACTTCCAGTCCTTTATAAACATCTTTCTTCGAACAATTTTGGGCCTATTCCCCAACATGAAATACATGAAGCAAAGCTTTTGAAGAGTTCCACAGCTCTCGGACATAAAAACATATATATCAATATATGATTCAGTACTCTATAGTTGACACACAGTTCATGTGTATTACCTCACTTGGTGCTTAGAAGAGGTTTTTAATTCCAAGATGCAGACTATTTGTTTTTAATGTCACAATGCCCCTCTTGTTACCTATTATGGGGACACATAAAAAGAAGGGAAAAGTGCTGTCTCAAACACCAGTAGCCAGGAACAATGAGAGAGAACTGGCTTTCTACCCTCTGAGAACTACACATCCTCCTCAAATGTCAGTGTGGCTCTGAGCTTCTGACCAAACTTCTGTGTTTAAAATTATCTCCCACAACCTGGCAGGCATATGGAGAGTTTTCGGAAGATCACGTCTTGCCTGAAAAAAAGAGAACATGCTGTCGATTCCTCTTTGCTTACACGTCATTCATAAAAATCAGAAAATAAAATGATGCAGAGAGGACAACATTTGTCACTTCTGATTTTAAATTGTGTTCATTGCCTAGGTGCCTTTGACCAGAAGGACTGATCCATAAACCGAGCTTCAAAAACTCTGACCTGGAGCATGTTGCTTCCAGACTTTTCTCCCGTCTTTCTGTGCATTCCCCTCTCTCTCCAACCCATTGAACTTATAGGCTGACCTGAGCTGCCCTGACCTCTGGGTATGTGATTCTTCAGAGCAAAGTGTTCTAGAGTCCTCCCCGTGGGCCTTTGTGGACGAGATCTGCCATTGAGACTTACAGAAAGTATTATCCCTCTCTCTGATCACTGGGATGGTTTGTCCTCATAGATGTGAGAGAAGCTGGATGTGGTAGATGCATTGGAAGATCTTTTATTGTTTTCAAAAGAATAAGAGAATACAACCAAGCAAAAATGAGCCATTACTATGATCCTCCATCCTGCCGACAAGGCTAATCATTGCATCTTCGTGAGCCACTAAGAATTGCTTAAGTTTACCCTCAGCTGAACTTCTGACCACAAAGGTCAGATGCTATCTGCAAACTTGGACCATCTAATTGTTCAAATGTAGGGCATGCACTAGGGAATACCATGCCCAATTAATGATCTATTTTCAGCTCTCAGTCCACCATGGAATAAAAATGACATGAATTTTACTTCCTGACAGCACAAAATCACAAGCCCTCATGGAAGCTGCTCCATCACTGTTTTGTTTTGTGTATTTGATATGTTGTTTGGGTAAAACTCCCGAGGATCTTCCTGGTGTTGCTTGGCCCCTCGCAGAAGAGCTATTCATTAGGGAGCAATGGTTTATTTCACTAAACGGTAGGCGCAGAGAACAATGATTTAATTTAAAATGACATTGCCTAACATATTAAAAAAAAATGGCTCATTTTAAAACTCGGAGCTTTGGAAAGCCTTATTCTAAAGAACTTGCTTGTTATGTCTCCTGATTTTTTCACTTTTAGAAAACAAACCACCTATGTGGTTACATAAAGTCCCCTTAGATGAATCACTGAGGGGCCTGTCAAATTGACAGTACTTGGAACCGGCAGGACAACAGGCTGACTAACGTAGCTCCTCCTAGCTACGTCCAGCTCTCCCATGTTCATCAGCATTGTTTCTTCACATTATTTATGTGAAGGCAAAAACCACTGCTCATTTCTTCCATGGTGGTTGTGTGTGAGAAGTTGAACTAAATTAGATAGATAAAACCAAAGCCTCCAGGAATACATCTGTTGTTGTTGTTATTATTATTATTATTGTTAATATTTGTGGGACTGTTTTTTTCTTCTCCCAGCTTTATTTGGTATAATTTACATATAGTAGAATTTTCCCATCTTAAGAGTGAAATTTAATGGATTTTAGTAATTTTATACCATATTAGTTTGTTAGGGCTGCTACAACAACACACCACAGACTGGGTGGCTTAAACAACAGAGATTTCTTGTTTCATAGTTCTGGAGGCGTGACGTCCAATACCAAGGTGTCAGCAGGCTGGGTTCCTTCTGAGGGCTGCGAGGGAAGGAGCTGTTCTTTATTCTTAGTTTGTAGATGACCATTATCTTTTCTTTGTGTTGTCACATTGTTATCCCTCTCTATTTCCAAATTTCCTCTTATAGGGACACCTGTCATGTTGGATTAAGGCCCACCCTAATGACCTCATTATAACTTACTTCTTTGAAGACCCAAGGTCCAAATACGGTCACATTCTGAAATACTGAGGGTTAGGAGTTCAACATATAAATTTTTAGGCGAACAAATTCAGCTCATAACATGCATAGTTATGTAAAAATTACCACCACAGTCATTTATTTACTTAATTGACCATAAAGACATGGATTGATTTCTAGGCTCTCCATTCTGTTCTGTTGATCTATATGCCTGTTCTTTTGCCAGTACCAGGCTGTTTTGATTACAACGACCTTGTAGTATAGTTTGATATCCGGTATTGTGATACCTCCAACTTTGTTTTTCTTTCTCAAGATTGCTGAGGCTATTAAGGGTCCTTTTTGGTTCCATATACATTTTAGGAATACTTGTTCTAAATTTGTGGAGTATGCCTTTGGCATTTTAGGAAATCTTATTTTTTTTAAGAGGTTCCTGTCATTTTAATTAGGTTTGCCATCCTCTTCCACCTCATCTCACCTCTCTTCATGTGAATATAGCACAGGAACCCGAAGACCTTCTTCCCCATGACCCTCCCCACTCCCCTGTGGGAGTGAATTTACTCAGTGCACTCAGCCTCCTCCATACAGCTGAAACAAGATGGATACAAATACTCACTCTGGCCCCACCACTGTGGCTCAGTGGGCTGAGCATCGTTCCATGGACTGAGAGGTGGTTTGATCCCTGGTCAGGGCACATGCCTGGTATGTGGGCTTGATCCCCAGTTGGAGGCATGCAGGAGGCAGCCGATGGCTATTTCTCTCGCACATCAATGTTTCTATCGCTTTCTCCCTTTCTCTGTCTCTAAAAAAGCAAAATCAATTAAAAATATTTAAAAACATATTTATGAAGAGTTGTGCTATTATCTTAGGGTGGAGGGAGTCAGGGGCAGAGATAGAGGCAAAGGCTGGGTGAGGTCTGGGATCTCTTAGAAATCGGCATTTGTCCAAGGGGCACAGAGCCCATAGATCACCCAGAGTGGAGGTATTCTAAGAGGGCAGGGGCTAGGATGGGTGAGTCTGAACGTTTTCCTCAGGACAACTAAAAATCCATTCTCTTTCCTTCCCCCACACCTTCCCCAGCTCCCAGGTAGGAGGGTAGGGGTCTCCTGAGCAGGGAACAGAGTCATAACTCTCTCATGGTTTCATCTGTGGTTCGCAGGATTTTGTGCAGGCAGTGAGTGCGTGGGCACAGCCCTTGGTGCCTCCTGGCTCCTTCCCCTACATTTGGTGATGGCATGGAGGACCCGGAGATGGTTATACTAAGGGAAACACGCCAGTCAGACAGAGGCAAGTGCCATCTGATTTCACCCATATGTGGAATCAAATGAACAAAATAGACTAACAAACAAAATAGAAACAAACTTATAGATCCATAAAGTAGACTGATAGCTGTCGGGGGAGGAATTTGGGGGGCTGGGTGAAAAAG